AGATGAGATTTGGGTGGGGACACAGCCAAACCGCATCAGGCTTGTTCTGTTTTGACTACCTGGAGTACTACAATTCAATTCTGGCATTAATGACCTAGAGTTAGTACCAAATTCCACAAGTTAATGGCTCAGTCGTCCACAAGACTGCTTCTTATTCTGGATGCCAGCCACAAGTGCAGTCCCCAGTCCCCAGGCTCCCTGCACTTCTGACTGATTATAAATTTGGGAGTTCCCATAACTACCTCAGTTTTGATAATTCGATATGGCTCAGAACTCACTGAAAGCACACTATGTGTAAAACTCTACATGTAGAGTTTTATTATAAAGTGTACACTTAGGACAAGATCTGGAAGGACTCTGGATGCAAAATTTTCATACTGTCTTCCCGAAGAATCTGAGTGTGTCATCCTCCCCGTACACCAGTATGTTCACCAACCAGAAAACTCCACTGAGTTTCAGTTTCCACAGTTTTTATGTGGAATATGATTACATAGGCATGATTGAATATGCAGTTGGCCACATAATTGAGCCTAGTCTCCAACTCTCTTTTCCATGCAGGTAAAACTGGCCCAAAGTTCCAACCTTCTAACCATGTGTTTGGTATTTCTGGTGTCTGTCTCCCATCCTGAAGCTAATTAGGAGTTTGTCATGAGTCACCTCATTAGCACAACAAATAATTTCTGTCTCTCAGGAAATTCCCAGGATTTTTGAAGTTGTCAGGAACTAAGATCAAAGGCCAGATAAGCTTTTTTTTTTTTTTTTTTTTAAAGACAGGGTCTTGCTCTGTTGCCCAGGCTGGAGCACAGTAAGGCAGTCTTGGCTCACTGCAACCTCCACCTCTTGGGCTCAAGCAATCCTCCCACCTAAGCCTCCCAAGTAGCTGGGACTGTGGGTACATACCACCATGCCTGGCTAATCGTTTATTTTTTTGTAGAGATGTGGTCTCACTTTGTTGCCCAGGCTGATCTCAAACTCCTGGGCCCAAGTGATCCTCCTGCCTCAGCCTCCCAAAGTGCTGGGATTACAGGTGTGAGCTATCATGCCTGGCCAAATTCTTTATTATACCACAGAGCCCTTAATATATCAATAATAGTTGTTTAAGTTTCTTATCTGATAATTCCAAAATCTGAATATATCTGAGTCAGATACTGATGTTTGCTTTGTCTCTTCAGACTTTTTTTCCTTCCCTTAGCATATCTCATAATTTTTTCTGTTGGAAGTGATCATACTATATCTGGTAATATAAACTGAGTTAATTGGGCTTTTAGTGTAAGGCTTTATGTTGATCTGGCTAGGAGCTAGGCTATGTTTAATGTTAATTGTAACACGTATGTGCCAGAGGCTCCAGTTTTCTATAGTTACCTTTTATTCCCTGCTTCCATGGTGCCTTTAGGTTCCCCTAAGAACTCTTTCTTAAATAGATTATGTCTTTCAGCTCTCTCAGTTGTAATCCACTGTTTTTATACTGGAGCCTTGCTGATATGGTGGTAAGACTTTAAGGAGGGGGGAAGCATTCTATAATCTTATAATTAAATCTCAGTTATTTTTAGTGGGCTTGAGTCCCTGAGCTGTGACCTTCAGCGTTTCTCAGCCTTTTTTTTCCTTATCATTATGTGAGACAGGAAGGCTAGAGGGAACTAGCATTGTCTAGTTGCCCTTCTTCTTGGTCACATAAGACTCTGGTAATTTCCCTTGATGTAACTCTTGCGACAGAGAGCAGAAAAACTCTGGGCTTATTTCAAAACGGCACTTCTTCTTTCCTCTTGCTGAAAGCAAAGGAGATATCTCTCCCATATGAGTTTTACTCTTGGTGGGGCTTCTAGTGGCACAGAAAATCCTGGACTTATTTCAAAATGGCACTTCTTCTTTCCTCTTGCTCAAAGCAGAGATTTATCTCCCATATGATTTTTACTTTTGGTGGGGCACCTAGTGGTAAATCCCACAAAAGTGTGGAGCCTCCTAAAACTGGGCCATCAGGAGTTTTTAAATCTCAAGTTAGTCTGCACTCAGCCTTCAGCAGTTTATCAATTACCATTTAAGTGTTCCTACCAGTTACTGGCTCCAGAAGCCTCTGCTCTCAGTAAACTGTAATTCTTTGTATTTACACATCTCTACAGTTTTGGGGGTGGCAGTTTGTCCTGTGACTTCAGTTATCTGGTAGATCTAAGAAAAGCTGTTGATTGCTAGCTTGTTCAGCATTTTTCTTGTTGTGAGAACAGGAATGTTGACTTCTAAGCTCTTTGCATATCAGAGCTAATCAGGAAGCATGACCGGTATACAACTAGAGGAAGGGTGCTTAAATCTAAGTGGAATTAGCCTATCTGTGGTTCATGGTAATCATGAATATTGATTACGGCCAGACGCCACTGATTCTTCCATTAAACCAGCTTTTCTGCTAGAATTGCAGTCTATGAATATAATACTTTGTTGAGTAGTTAGTAAAACTAAATGCAGTTTTCGAAAGGGGAATCTTTTAGGGAGATATGGCCTTATGGTTTGAACCAGGTATGGCCTTATGGTTTTATTTCCACTGTATCAAATCCCAGTGGCCTTCTCAGTGGCAGAATGGGTTTCTCACAAATTCTCTGCATTGTAGTTGTTAATTCTTAAGTAAAGTTACTCTGGAATGTGCTTTCTTTGGCTTATAAGCAGACCTCCTCTCCACCTTATGAGTTTCCAACTCTTTGCCCTTGAATTAGACACATGTTGGTAGATTGTAGCCTAAGGCCTACTACTTGCTAGTACTTGATAAAATCTTCTCCTTAGGATGAATGGACAGTGGACTAAAGACAATCATTACAACTTTTTAATCAAAGTGGCTGAATCCATAACTATATCTTTCTAAATTAAGCCTGTTTTGTTATGAACTGTCTCTAGATTACCATTGGCATTGTTGTTGGTCGGGTGATTTGGAGAAAATAAAAGAACATCATGATTTTTATTTTTCTTCTTCCTATAATCCAGTGATTCTTAACTAGGGGCAATTTTACTGCTGCAGGGACATTTGGCAATGTCTGGAGACATTTCTAATTGTCACACCTAGAGAAGTGATTGTTATTGGTGTCTTGTGGGTAGAGGCCAGGGATGCTGCTAAACATCCTACAACACACAGGACAGTTTCCGCAACAAAGAATTATCCACAAAAAGTTACCTGGCCCAAACTGTCAATAGAGCTGAGGTAAAGAAGCCCTGCTAGAATCTGAGAAATTAGCCACCGTGGCTTCTTTGTCTATACTAGGATCGTAATGATCTCATTATTTTTATCTCTTTATTAATTTTTGTATTACAAAGATAATGTTTTTTCTCTGGACTATTTTCTCATTTGACCAAAGAAGTTAGTCTTGAAATCCTGCCCCACAAAGCTTACAGGTCAATAATTCACAGTATAATCTCCTTATTGGAGTGGAGGCCTATGGGTGCTGGAGTCCTAAGAGTTAAACACCGTTGCACAATTATAGTGTGTTTAGTGTGCAGCTTATACAAACAAAAATATTATCTGTACCTTTAATTTATAGTTTACTTGTGTTATAGTAATAATACAGAGCAAATCTTGTATTATAGTAATAATACAAGGAAACTACAAATTAAAGGTACAGATAAAATTTTGAAAATAGCCGTAGTAGAAGAATGAGAACCAGCCTCTTTTGACCTACCGAGCTTCACATATGGTTTACAGATGTTCTCCCGTTTCATCCTCATAATAGCCTCACCAGACAACCTTGTTCTTGTCAAATAAAAAGTCAAGAAGAGAACAGAATGATACTTTGAAGATAGTTTTATCCTGTTCCTGTTAATAAGTCAAATGTGTGCCTTGTATAAATTTACAACCTACACAATGTCTACAGAGAAATATAAAAATCACTCATTATTATACTATCAGAGATAACTGTTTAGTGTATTTCTTTGCTACTTATTTTTTTTGCATGTAAATGCATTTTAAATGTAATTACATTTATTCTGTGTACATCACTTTTATCTTTTCCCCTCCCCTCAATATCATTTCATGGGCATTTTAGGAGGTCAGTTGATATTTTCTTTCTTTTTCAGATTTGATAAGCTAATTTTTTTTTTCAATAGATTTTTGGGGAACAGATGGTGGTTGGTTACATGAGTAAGTTCTTTAGTGGTGATTTCTGAGATTTTGGTGTACCCATTACCCAAGCAGCATACACTTGAGTTGATATTTGATATTTTCTAAAGTATGATATTTAATGATTTTAAATACTTCGTCATATGACTACTTCATATGTTTAATCATTCCCCTTGATAAGTAGCAACATTTTTCTGTACGAAAGAAACAAACCAAAAAACAAACAAAAAAAAGAGAAGAAAAGTTCCTGAAACACACTGGTATATCGAAACAACAAAATTCAACAACAAAAACAAAAAGTCCCACAAGCCATGTGATAAACAAACCACAAATCTTTGACTTCTCATCATACCTAAAAATACTGGGCTTTGTAAATATCCATTAAATTACATACAAATCCGTGTATGCAGATATTGATATTTTTCACTGTGCCCAGAAAATTTGATTGTTGTAGTGTCTGCTTCTAAAAACGGGTAAGATATAATAGTGTTTCATATTTAAGATAAATAGTATAGCTTAGAAGTGGAAGCCTGTTTCGGGGGTGGTTGATTTTCTTTTTAAGTACAAAAATAGTAATTTTAGTATCAATCCCAGGAGTTCCAAGCTTATATAAAATAAAATAATTGTTATTAATATCTATACTGGTATATATAGGATATATGTTATATAATACAGTTGACCCTTGAACAACATGAGTGTTAGGAATACTGGCTCCCACACAGCTGAAAATCTGTGTAACTTTTGACTCACCCCAAATTTATCTAATATCCTACTGTTGACTGGAAGCCTAACTGGTAACATAAACAGTTGGTTAACACATATTTTGCATGTTATATGTATTATACACTGTATTCTTACAATAAAGTAAGCTAGAAAAAAGAAAATCATAAGGAAGAAAAAATATATTTACCATTCATTATGTGGAAGTGGCTCATGATAAAGGTCTTCATCCTCGCTGTCTTTGTGTTAAGTAGGCAAAGGAAAAGGAGGAAGAGGATAGGTTGATCTTGCTGTCTTAGGGTGGCAGAGGCAGGAGGAAATCTGCATAAAAGTGGACCTGCATAGCAACCCATGTTCTTCAAGTGTCCACTGCATATAGTTATGTAGTATTGCAGTTATATCCAGACATAATAGGCAAGACGTGAGACATAAAATATAGTATTAATTTTGGAAGTCATCTAAATCATGCTCTGAGGGAAGGTACAAGGCTACTAGAGGCAAAGGGCCTTGCTCAGTCAGGGTGTGGCATAACTGGAAGCCCAAATGCCAGACTTTGTCCTCTGCTTAGCCTCAACCAGAGGTCAGATGTCTTTTGTTGCCAGATGTTGATAAACACAGAGAGGCAAAGGCAAGCTCTTCAGTTACCTTATCACCACTTTACTAATACATGTGACTGCAAAACATTGTCTTCATTTAAGTCAGAATATAAAGGAAAAGCCCCTAATGAATATGATTTCATGAGTTTTGGACATAAAAACTCACTTGGTAGCACATTATAATTTTAAATCACATTTAATTCCCTGCCAGCCAGGAAATAATTCCATGGGAAGTCAATCAATGAAAGTTAACAAGATCATTACTAGCAAAACAGGTAATATTTTTCATTTTCAAATAGTAAAGGGTTGGGTTTGATGAGAAGTAGATATAGGAGACAGAGCAGCATTCTCAGGTGTTGTTCGTGCCCCTGCCATTGTTTTAATTGTGGCCGCAATATTGTTTCTCATGGCTGATGGTTGACTTTGGTGAGTAGAAGTAGGTAGTAGCTAAGAATGATCATGAAAAAATAGAACATTTTCTTTAAAAAGGAAAAATTGCCTAATGGTGTATCAGTTTTGTATTTACAATCACCATAGTACATTTAGGTTATTGGTATTCTTTTACGAGGAAAGGCTGGGGAAAAGTGGAGTGGCAAAGAGAAATAAAGAAGTATTAATTGGAAACCACCTCAAACATGAAAAAAATAGCTTTTATTTATTTCATTCTGCATCTGCTAGTCTCTGGGCAATCTAAAAAAACAGTCATCAGAATTATAGCCACATGGTGATTTTTTTTCTTCTCCAGAATTACAAGAAAATTGGCTCCCACACTGTGGAACTAAAAAGAGGGGCTATAGGGTGCTGCTTCTCTCTCTTGACATTTTACTTGGTTTTCAAAGGAATTCGTGACTAAGAATCTCATGAAATCTAAATGCGGTCACTGATGGAAATTTAGGTTTTCACAAAGAGCGCAGAAAGAAATTTACATGGCAAAAAAAAAAAAAGAAAAAATTTGCTCTGGCAAATGGGTAAGGTAAGGATGTGTGTGTGTGTGTGTGGTGTATATATGTACACATCATATGCATATATCAGTGAGTATGTATATCTCAATGATTTTCATTTGCTAGGTGTAATAATACATTTAATTTTTAAAATATGAGTTTTTTTCAGCAGTTGTATAAAAATAATTACTTAATTATTGTTTTTCTTTTTCAGCAAGCTTATGAACTTTGGACATATTGAGATTATGTAAGTCCTTGGACAGCATTAATATAATATTATCTAATTTGTATTAAAAGTGTTTACCCATTTTGTTCATTAAGTATAAATATTTGGAAAGATGATAGATTTTAAAACATATAGGGAGCGAACTGACACGTTCATCCACAAAAGTCACATCAAGTTATGAAAAATGAGAAGATTGAGGTGTCACTATTCAGTAGTACTTTTTTGTTTGTTTATTACTTTATTCATCAGCACATCCAGGAGAGCTTAATAACTGGCTCTCCTAAAATAAAAACCCTAGTTGGTACTCCCACCATGGCCAATTTTAAGGACAAGGAACACTAAGTTACAAGGAAATGACAATAATCAGTTCTCATTAGATGGTAAGGACAGGCATGAACACTGTGCTACAGCTAACCAGGAGAAAAAGGAATGTTACGGAACTTAAACTGCTTAGAATGTTGATATAATAAAGGGGGATGAGGACAGAACAAGCACTGAGGCTCGTGAGCCAGGCAGAAGTCAGAGTGGGAGGAGCCTTGAGGTCTCTCCAGGAGATTCAGGGACCATAGGATTTGGTAGTGATTCAGGTACGAAATGATCATGGCCCTCATCATTGTAATGACTGTAGTATTTTGAAGGAATTCAAAAAATAGATGATGGACATGTCCCTAATCGTGATAGTGCCCATGTGATTTTATAGCTATAGAGTGAAAAGATGACAGTGACCATATCCAGGGTAATGTCTGTGGGAATTTGTGAATATCCAGGTAAGAAATGAGTGTTTCTACTTAGGAAGTGAACATGGGATACTGAAGTTATAAAGGTAAGAAATGATGATAAACCTAACAGTGGGGGTGAGCATGGTGTTTTCTAGATATCCAGATAAGAGAGGATGATGGCCCTAACTCAAGTACCAAAATTGGATTTCCTCAGGTAAGCACATAGGAGCTGAAGATGTTTCTTACCACGTTAGTGAACATGGCATTTTGTGCTATTCCAGACATGATGGCGAACCTAACCACAAAGTGACCATGAGACTGTCAGGGGTCTAGTAAAGACATGATGGTGCCCTTAACTGTGAAGGTTACGATGAAATTTGTAGGTCTGTAATTAAGAGATGATGGTGATGATAACCACAGTAATGAGCAGGGGATTTTGCAAGTAACCAGGTAAGAGATGATGGTATCTCTAAAAACATGGTGACCGTGGAATTTTGAGGATATCCAATCAAGGAATAATGTGTTACTAGAAACGGTAGTACCAAGGTATTTTGCAGTTACCCTGGAAAGAAATGATGTGTCCTTAGGAATGGCATTTAATCTGGATAATTTGTACGTCTCCATGTATGGTAGGCTTCTCTAAATCTGGTAGATCTCATGGGCTTCTGTAGGCATCCACATGAGAGATGACGTGACACAAATTGTAACCAGTTGCCACCATTGTAACCAAGGTGTTTTATAAGTATCCAGCTTAAAACTGTAGCTTTATTTATTTCTTGGATGTAAGACTTTCGTGTTACCTATCGTTTTCTTTCTTTTTGAGACAGAGTCTGGCTGAGGTCAGTGCTAATGTGGGCCTAAACCACAGCCCGCACTGTGGGACTGTCACAGAGACCCAGTTCAGTGATGATGTGTCCCTACAGGCCTTCCCATCGTTACTTCCTTCACACGTATTCAGGTGAGAAATGATTGAGTCTTGTCTGGTAAGTGATGGTGGTGTAGGCCTCCCTGTTGTTCCCCTGATTTAGCTTCAGGTATCCCGGTCAGAAATGATAAGAGTCCCTGACATACTCGAAACCATGAGTTTTCCCTCTGCATATTTCAGAGACAATGCCTAACCCTATGAGCGCACTGGGAATGCAAATACCAGGTAATCATCCGGCATTCACAGCCACAGCAGTGACTGTGATCATTTTGCTGGTGTCCTGTAGAGAGAAATGCTGTCTTCTGGGACCACTGCCCTGAGTTTGGGGGTCCCTGCCAGCATCCAGGTAAGAGTCATTGAATGATGGATGTGAGCATCATGATTTGCAGGTGTCCTGGTAGAACACCTTGTGTGTTTCTTGGCTAACTCCAACCTCAGCCTCCTGTGTTCAAGTGATTCTCCTGCCTCAGCCTCCCATGTTGCTGAGATTACACATGTGTGCCACCACCCCTGACTAATTTTTGTATTACTAGTAGAGAAGGAGTTTCACCTTGTTGGGCAGGCTGGTCTCGAACTCCAGACCTCAGGTGATCCACCTGCTTCAGCCCCCAAGGTGCTGGGATTACAAACGTGAGCCACCACTCCAGGCCCCTTGTGTGTTTCAGAGGCATATGTCTCAGTGTAGGTTTTCCAGGCTCCCAGGAGAAAATCCCTACAAACAGGAGTCACGATCAGGAGACATGTCTGTTATCTGGGTAAGTGATGGTGTGCATGGTAAACTCACCACAGACCAGGTAATCTCCACATATCTAGGTAAGTGAGGTTCCTTTGCCTGAACTGTTTACCATGTGATGGGTTAACAGCTAATTTGGAAAGAAAGGGGAGTGGCCCCCCATTTGCCTCGCTATGTGATCCTGTTCATTTCTGTCCTGAAGAGAAAGTATGATGTATGTGCTCTGTCAGTGCTGATCGATTTGAACGTATCCAGGACTCACGTGGCACTGTGCATCACAGGAGTAACTGCGGTGGATTTACAGGGAAGCCAGGCAAGGAAAATGGCGTGTCCTATGATGGCCTAGACCTTGGAGGGCCCACAGGCATCCAGGGACATTTTTGGCTCCCACAGTGGTGATAGTGAGCAAGTAGTTTGCAGGGTCCTGGTGGATAAGCTGTGTCCGTAGACTCATTGGTCACACATGTGATTTCAGGTTCAGGCAGGCAGAAGTCAGAGTGTGAGGACAGCCTTGAGGTCTCTACAGGAGATTCAGGGTCCATAGGATTTGGTAGGGATTCAGGTACGAGGTGATCATGGCTGTCATCATTGTAGTGTCCATGGTATTTTGATGGAATCTAAGAAACAGATGATGGACATGTCCCTAATCACGATAAGAAATGAGGGTTTCTACTTAGGAAGTGAACATGGGGATCCTACAATGGTAAGAAATGATGATAAACCTAACCGTGGGGTTGACCATGGTATTTTCTAGATACTCAGATAAGTGAGGGTGGTGACCCTAACTCAAGTACCAAAATTGAGTTTCCTCACTTAGGCACGTAGGAGCTGGTGATGTGCCTTCGCGTGTTAGTGAAATCAGAGCATGAGAACAGCCTTGAAGTCTCTCCAGGAGATTGAGGGTCCATAGGATTTGGTAGGGATTCAGGTACAAGATGATCATGGCTGTCATCATTGTAGTGATTTTGAAGGAATCCAAGAAACAGATGATGGATATGTCTCTAACCATGGTAGTGCCATAGGATTTTATAGCTATGGAGTGAAAATATGACAGTGACCGTATCCAGGGCAATGTTTGTGAGATTTTTAAAATATCCAGGCAAGAAATGAGTGTTTTTACTTAGGAAGTGAACATGGGATACTGAAGTTATAACGGTAAGAAACGATGATAAACCTAACTGTGGAGGTGAGCATGGTATTTTCTAGATATCCAGGTAGGTGTGGATGGAGGCCCTAACTTGAGTACCAAAATTGGGTTTCTTGAGGTAGGCACGTACGAGCTGACGATGGCCCTTCCCACGTTAGTGAACGTGGCATTTGGTAGTATTCCAGATAAGATGGTGAACCTAAACCCAAAATGACCATGAGATTGTCAGCTGCTTACTAAATAGATGATGGTCCCCATAACCATGAAGATTATGATGAAATTGTATTGGTCAGTAATTAAGAGATGGCAGTGCTCCTAACCACGGTAGTGAACAAGGGACTTTGCAAGTCACCAGGTAAGAGACGATGGTGTCTCTAAAAATGTGACCATGGGATTATGCAGATTCCAATGAAGGAATAATGTGTTACTAGAAATGGTAGTACCAAGGTATTTTACAGTTCTGGAAAGAAATGTTGTGTCCCTAGCAATGGCATTTAATTTGGGTAATTTGTAGGTCACCATGTATGGTAGATTTTTCTGAATCTGGTAGATCTCATGGACTTCTGTAGGTATCCACATGAGAGATGTGTCACAAATTGTAAGCAATTGCCGCTATTGTTACCAAGGTATTTTGTAAGTATCCAGCTAAGAGCGCCAGCGTTATGTATTGGTTGGATGTAAGACTTTAATGATATCTCTTTCTTTCGTTTTTGAGTCTGGCTGAGGTAAGTGCTGATGTGGGCCTAAACCACAGTCCGCTTCGTGGGACTGTCACAGAGACCCAGTTCTATGATGACTTGTCCCTACATGCCTTACAGCCATGATTTCTTTCACAATTATTCAGGTGAGAAATGATTGTATCCTCACTGATCCCAGATAGGCTGGGCTTTCCCATTTCTGTTTCATAGAAAGTGTCTGCCTAACCCTGTGAGTGTGGAAGGATTACAGGGAGCCAGATATTTATCACTGTTACCCCACCCCTGTGCTGCCCCTAGGATTTGTAGAGGTGTCTAGTCAAGAAACGGTGGTTTGCCGCTATCAGGGTTGACCTAGGATTACTGCAAGTATCCAGGTCGAGTGGGTGTGTCCCATAAAGCTGGAATTACTCAAGGTTCTTTGCAGGAGTCCTGGTGGAAAACCTTGTGTCCTTCTACATATGTGTCTTCATGCCTATTGCTGTTCAGCCTTCCTGTTGCTGTGATTTCGCTTCAGGCGTCCTAGGAAGAAATGGCATGAGTCCCTGGCATACTAGAAACCGTGAGTTTACCCTGTGCATATTTCAGAGACAATGCCTAACCCCATGTTCGTAGTGGACCTGTAAGTACCTGGTAATTATCCGGTGTTCCTTCCCACAGCAGTGACTGTGGACATTTTGCAGGTGTCCTGTAGAGAGAACTGCTGTCTTCTGGGACCACAGCCCTGAGCTTGGGGGGCCCTGTCAGCTTCGAGGCAAGAGTCCTTCAATGATAGATGTGAGCATCGTGATGTGCAGGTGTCCTGGTAGAACATCTTGTGTGTTTCTGAGGCATATATCTGAGTATATGTTTTCCAGATTCCCGGAAGAAAATCCTGAAGAATGGGACTCATGAACAGGGAATGTGTCTGCTGTCTGGGTAAGTGATTGTGTGCACCATAAACTCATCACAGACAACCTGATCTTCACATTGGTAGGTCAGTGAGGTTCTTTTCCCTGAACGGTTTACCACGTGATGGGTTTAGGGGTATTCCGGTAAGAAAGGGTAGCGGCTCCTTGTTCTCATTGCCATGTGATCCCATTGTTTTCTGTCCTGGAGAGAACGTATGAGGTATGTACCCTGTGAGTGCTGATCGATTGGCACGTACCCAGGGAACTCCAGTGGCACTGTGCATCACAGGAGTAACTAAGGTGAATTTGCAGAGAAGACAACCAGAGAAAATGATGTGTCCTACGATGGCCTACCCCTTGGAGGGACCACAAGCATCCAGGTAGATTTTTGGCCCCCACAACACTGTTAGTGAGCGGGTGGTTTTCTGGGTTCTGCTGGAAAAGCTGTGTCTGTAGGCAGATTTCACAGAGCGGTGGTTTTCTGGGTTCTGCTGGAAAAGCTGTGTCTGTAGGCAGATTTCACATTCCCTTCCAGAGGTCAAGGGAACCCTCATTATGCTCGAGCAGGGGAATCCTGCCTGTATCCAGAGAGGAGACAGTATGGGCATAAGCAGGCCAGGGATGATCCAATCTTCTGATACACAGGTAATCACCAATGGCATTCCTACTATTTTTCCTGTCCTGCTGTGGGTTTTCTTGGCTCATTTTCTGTTCTTTATTTTATGCAGTAATTCAGTTAAGAAACAATGCTTTGCCAACCAAGGCTAATAAGCATTTGTCCTTGCTATGTCGAATTTTGGAGGATAATGTGCCTCTGAACCTGAGTCCGTGTTGACTGCGGTAGATGCGGTGTCCAGGTGAATTATCCTACTCTACCAGACCACAGGATGGAATGATAGTTCTGACACATCATCAGTCCAGAGCTGATAGTGGCGCCAACAGTGGGGTGGAAGTTGGAGTTCTGCCAGGATCTTAGGTATGTTCCTTTAGATGACAGCAGTGAGACTCAGCCTCCAAAGACGTGTCTTTCGGGTTTCAGGTATGCCAAGTGGCATCCTGGAAAACACCTGTCAGATGCGTTTCTTCTGCTGCTGCTAGTCATGAGATCAAGGTGGGTCTGAGAATGGCCATTCGGAGGCCCTGGATAGTAACCGGTACGGATGACATGAGTGCTATGCCAATACAGACCACCTGAACTCAGATTTGACAAAGAGGGCACTGTCCTTGACACAGTGTTTTCCCATGGTTTCCTGCAGGTGGAAACCACAAAGTCCTCTCTTCCTGTAGAGAGGTAAGAGATGTTGTGGCATTACCTCTCATGAAAGGTAACACTCTTAAATTTCCTGCATGTAGATAATTAATGATGGTTTGAGTCTGGTAGAGTAACCTTGTGTTTGGCATATGTGTCATTGGGAAAAGATAATTGTGATTCCTTAAATGCCAGTGAGCATGAGATTTTACTGTTTGCTTATTCAAAGGTAAGGGTTTGTGTGTGTGTGTGTGTGTGTGTGTGTGTGTGTGTGTGTGCACGCACAAATTTGACCCTCCATGTGATAAACGGATATGCCAGTGCTCAGGTAGTTGATCATATTGTCTGTCACCCCGATGTGGATTGTGCTATTTCTCCAGGTATGCCTTGTAGGCTCTGGCTTAGATATCTTCAGTTATCTGGGTAACCTGGATGAGTTGTGAAATGATACCAATGAACACGTATATTTGTGGGTATCCTCGTAGCATAGGCCAGGGACCAAGCAGAGTTTCCCCCAATATGTCTTTCTGATGAATGTCCGGCATCACAGCAGGCCTTCAGCTAGGGTAACGTAGCATTGCTGGCTGAGGTAAGTGCTGACACAGGCCTAAACCACAGCCCACAGCGTCACACTGTCACAGAGGCTTAGTTCAGTGATGGTAAGTCTCACACATCTTCCCTGCCTATGATTTTCCATGTATTCAGATAAGAAATGATTTTAGTTTTCACCACTCTTAGATAGGCTACCTTGGCTTTCTCGCTTTTATGAAAGTATATGCTGAACCGTAAAGAGTGTTGAGGGATTGCAGGGAGCCAGGTATTTATCGCTGTGTTCCCCATCTGTGCTACCCCTCCGATTTCTAGAGATGGTGAGTTGAGAAACGGTTTTCTGCTATCAGGTTGACCTGAGATTACTGCAGCTATACACATCGAGTGGGTGTGCCCCATAAAGATGGAAGTAATCATGGGACTTTGTGGGAGTCTTTAAGAAAACCCCATGTCTTCTTACACGTATGTATTGGTGCCTCTTGCAGATTCCTGCCGTGGCATCCCAGTGAATCCAACGGGGGCTTATCAGAAGCAGGGTTGCTCTGCAAGTCAAGGCTGCCTGAGGACCAAAAACAACGCATGGGCCACTTGAAGTTCAGGTGTCTAGGTAAGTGAAGATGGTGTGCATAGTTCCTGTTGTTCCCATGATTTCGCTCAAGTGTCCCTGCAGGAATTGACAAGTGTCCCTTGGCTCACTAGAAACCGTGAGATTTCCCTCTGCTTATTTCAGAGACAACGTCTAACCCAGTGAGACAGGACTGCAAATACCAGGTAATGATCTGGCGTTCCCAGCCACAGCGATGACCGTGGACATTTTGCAGGTGTCCTGTAGAGAGAAATGTTGTCTTCTCGGCCTGCGGCCCTGAGCTTGGGACCACAGCATCCAAGTAAGAGTCCTTCAATCATGGATGCAAGCATTGTGATTTGCATGTGTCCTGTGAGAACACTTTATGTGTTTTCAAGGCATATATCTCTGTATGTTTTCCAGGGTCCCACAAGGAAATCCCGACAAACAGGAGTCAGGATCAGGGAACATGTCTGCTATCTGCAAGTGATGGTGTTCGCGGTAAACTCACTCACACACCAGGCGATTCCACATACCTAGGTGTTTATGTCTTTGCCTGAAGGGTTTATCATGTGATAGCTAATAGGTATTTTGCAAGAAAGAGTAGCTTGTTTCCATTCTCCTCACCATGTGATCCTATTGATTTCTGCCTCTGGAAAAAGACTGCAAGTGATATGTGGTCTGTGAGGGCTGATTGATTGGCATGTACGCAGGGAACTCATGTGGCATTGTGCATCGTTGGTGAGTAACTGGGTGGTGGATTTGCAGGAAGCCGGCCAGGGAAAAATAGTGTGTCCCCATAATGGTTTGTAGACTCCCTGAGATCACAAGCATCCAGATACATTTTTGACTCCCACAGTGATTATACTGAGCAGGTGATTTGCAGGGTCCTGTGGAAAAGCAGTCCATAGAGGCGTTGGTCACACTTGTGGTTTCAGGTTCAGGCAGGCAGAAGTCAGAGCGGAGGACAGCATTGAGGTCTCTCCAGCAGGAGATTTATGGACCCTAGGATTTGCAGTGATTCAGGTATGAGATGATCATGGCTCTCTATCATTGTAGTGATCATGGTATTTTGAAGGAATGCAAAACAGATGATGGGCTCTGTCCCTAACCATGGTAGTGTCCATGGGATTTTGCAGCTATAGAGTGAAAAGATGACAGCAGTTCATCTCCATGGTAATGTCTGGAATTTTAAAATATCCAGGTAACAAATGAGTGTTTCTACTTTAGAAGTGAGCATAGAATACTGAAGTTACAGAGTTAAGAAATGATGATAAACTTAACCATGGGGGTGACCATGTTATTTTCTAGATATCCAGATAAGTGAGGTTGGTGGTCCTAACTTGACTACCAAAATTGAGTTTGCTCAGGTAGGCATGAAGAAGCTGATGATGCCCCTTCCCATGTTAGTGAATGTGGCAGCAATTTGGTGGTATTCCCAGGTATGATGGCAAACCTAATCACAAAATAACCATGGGATTGTCAGGGGTTTAGTAAAAAGATGGTGGTCCCCTAACCAAGGAAAGTTACATGAAATTTTGTAGGCCAGTAATTAAGAGATCTGGCAGAGATCCTAACCGTGGATACTGAACAAGCGCGAATTTTGCAAATCACCAGTAAGAGATGATTAAAATTAAAAATGTGGTGACCTTGGGATTTTGCAGATATCCAATTAAGGAATAATGTGTTCCTAGAAATTGTAGTACCAAGGTATTCAGCAGTTACCCAGGAAAGAAATGTTTCCCTAGCAATGGCATTTAATCTGAGTAATTTGTAGGTCATGTATGGTGCAGATTTTTCTATCTGATAGATCTCCATGGGCTTGTAGGTATCCACATGAGAGATGATGTGTCACAAATGGTAAATAACTGTCACTAGTGTAACCAAAGTGTTTTATAAGTACTAAATTAAGAGCTTAGTCTTTATTTATTTGTCGGATATAAGACTTTCTTGTTAACTATTTTTTTCTTTTCTTTTGAGAAAGAGTCTGGTTGAGCTAAGTGCTGACACGGGCTTAAACCACAGCCTGCACCGTGGGAATATCAGAGAGACCCAGTTCGGTGAAGATGCGTCCCTACACGCTTTCCCCGCCGGTGATTTCTTTCACAGGTATTCAGGTAGAAATGATTGAGTCCTTATCGATTCCAGATCGGGTTGGGTTTTCTTATGGTCTGTTTCATCGAAGGTGTATGTTGAACCCTATGAGCATTGAGGGACTGCAGGGAGCCAGGTATTTATCACTATATTCTGCACCTCATGCTAACCCTAGGATATCTACAGGTATCCAGTCAAGAAACGGGTGGTGTGTTCTGCTATCAGGGTTGACCTGGGATGATCACATGCATCCAGGTCAGTGTGTCTGTGTCCCGTAAAGATGGAAATAATCAAGGTTCTTTAGGAGTGCTGGCAGAAAACCCCGTGTCCTTCTACACATACGGCTTCCTGCCTCTTTCAGATTCCTACCGTGACATCACAGTGAATCTGACACTTAAATCCTTTAATGGGAAGCTTGGCTGCTCTGCAGGTCAGCACAGATGAGAGGAATGAAAGCACCGCACTAGCCAGGTGAGGCTCAAGGCTGTCTAGGTAAGTGAGATGATGGTATCAGGCCTCCTGTTGTTCCCTGATTTCGCTTCAGATGTCTCCCCTCGGCAATGATAAGATTCCAGGCTTACTAGACACCAAGTGAGTTTTCCCTCTGCATATTTCAGAGACAACGCCTAACTCAGGAGCGGAGTGGGGACTGGAAATACCAGATAATGATCTGGCATTCCCAGCCACAAGAGTGACTATGGACATTTTGCAGGTGTCCTCTAGAGAGAAATGCTCTCTTCTCAGACCACGGACCTGAGCTTGGGGGCCCCGCCAGCATCCAGGTAAAGAGTCATTTAATGATGGATGTGAGCATCGTGATTTGCAGGTTTCCTGGTACAACACCTTGTGTGTGTGTGTGTGTGTGTGTGTGTGTTTGTTTGTTTGTTTCTTTCTTTCTTTTTCTCTCTCTTCTCTTCTTCTTGCTGGGATAGTTTTGCTCTTGTCGCTCAGGCTGGGTGCAATGGTGAATCTCAGCGACT